CCCCCCCCAACGCCCTTCATGCCTGGCTGGTTACCGTACACGCTTCCAGGGTGCTCCCCTCAGCCCTCCCCTGACCTGGGAGTGTCTGGACAGCTGTGGAAGGGGTGTACTCACCTGCACAGTGTGAAGCGCACCGTGTCCTCATTGTGGGAGGCCACCATCACTTTAGCTTTGGCGTTGTTCTTCAGCTCCTCCAGGACATAATTGAGGCACCTGGGGAGAATGGCAGGTGAGCCTGGGCCTGGAGAGGCCCCCACAATGGCAAGGCCAGAGGCAGGCCCCAGGGCCATCCAGTAAGCCACTCCTCCCAAAGGTGCCCGTGGTGACAGGACCAAAGCCAGGAGCATTTGTCCTTCCTCAGCACCTTGTGAGTAAGAAAGAAAAAGTACACAGCACTGGGGTTAGATACTCAGGGAACTAGCTGAGGCACACTGCCCTGTGTGCCGGGGACAGGTGCAGCTTCACTTTGGAAAAGGGTCTTCGAGGAAGTTAAAAGGCCTGCCGGGGGCTCCCTGTGCTGGGGGGAGCGCTGACCACTGCTGCCATCAGGCAGTGAAAACAGCTCGGCAGGTGCATGTCCTCTGGCCCAGCAACTCCATTTCCAGCAACAGCTTGGCCTCACCCATGGGTGCAAAAGACAGGGACGGTATGCCCTGGATCACCCTTGTAACAACAGGCCACCAAACTACCTTGAAGCTCGCAGGGACACATATAAGCACAGGCACAGTCTGCACACTGACCTGGGGGGATCCAAATACAGCTTTACCAGAAAAGCAAGGGCAGAAGGCCAACCACAAGGTCCGCACCAACAGATGCGCACAGCAGCTCCTGGAAGGAAGCCTGGTGCTGCCAGGGCTGAAACTCTAGTGAGGGGAGACAATCTCTTTGAATCTGCAACATATCTGCACAACCTCTGAGAGAAAAAGCACGAGGCCAACCTGTCCATACTGCAAAAAATATCACCAAGGTAAACGCAGGCAGCAGACGAGAACGATGGTCCCTGCAAACAAGGTGAGTGCAGTGTAGGGATGGCCTGGGCAACCAGCAGGAGCTGCGGGGGACCCAGGCTAGTTTACTTTAGTAGACTTTTCTATATTAAAAAAGCCACCTAATGTTCTTGAAAAAGTAAATCAAAAGCAGAGAAAATAACCAGTTCTGGCCTCAGAGCAAGTCTTGCTCCTACCAGAAGTTTCTGACCTCCAGGCTGCTCCCCCTTCGGACAGAGGTCCATCGGGTCAGTTTCAACTCCAAGGAGATACGTTTCCCTCTCCATCTGCTCCCTCTCCTCCCCAGGTAGCCGTGAGGCTCTGGGACCCAAGAAGAACTGGCGCACCTGTGGTACATGGTGTTGGTGGCCTCATACGTGGGGTTGATGGGGTCCTCGTAGCCAATCTCCAAAGCGCGGGCCCGTTCCTGGGCCATGTATGCGCCCCGCACCAGCTTGGCTCCAAAACACCAGCCCTCCCGGCGAGCCAGCTCCACGTCCAGGGTGATGTTGTCATAGGCATCCTGCAGGTCAGGGCCAAAAGTCCGTTCCTAGGTCAGCCCCCTCCAGCCAACACCCCTTGAGCCTTCCTGGGCCCAGGAGCATCCAATGCAGTCAGCGAGGGGCACCAGGGTAGCAGCAGCTCACTGAGGGAGGTGCCCTATGCCCTGCGGGTGCTCAGGGGATCTGGGAGACAGGTGTGGGCAAGGGAGGCCTTTTGACTTCTGTCCCCAAGGAATGGTTAACAGTGGGGCCACCTGCAGCCTCTTCTGTTTGGCCTGGGGAGTCTTTTGAGGGGACAGGCCAAATGCTAGCAGCCATAGTACATGCCAGTCTCTTCAGGTTGACTTGGGGGTGGGCACCTGCCTGGATACCCCCCACCCTACAGCTTCTAAACACCTCAGTGGTCCCAAGCAGCCCGTTCTAGGTTTGTGCTCAGGGATTCCACCCTGAAGCATTAGGGAGGAACATGGAAAATTCTAGCCAAGTCTTTCTGGGGAAGGGCCCAGAGCTTTCATCAGCCCCATAGGGAAAACGGTCATTCATGAAGGCTTTGAAATTTGGGGATTAAAGGACATTAAGTGGACCGAAAGCAAGCTCCTTCATCTTCCTCCTCCCCTTCAGCACTCTGGATCTGGGGCTTCCCCCCTTGACCTCAGAGCTCAGAGGGGGGTGCGCCATCACCCGAGGGGGGTGGGCGGCTACAGGGGCCCCGAGGTACCTTCAGGTAGCACTGGTACGTGTTGAAGATGAGCGGCTTCTCCACGTTGAACTTGCGCTGCATTTCCAGGGTCAGGCGGCTGATGGCCGGCTGGAAGTACGTCTGCTCCGCGTCCACCATCAGCCGCACCCCCACCTCGGTGGCTTTCTTAGAGGTCAGAGGTGGGAGACAGGGTTTGTCTGGGGCTCAGGTGAGATGGGAGCCCCTCCCAGCCCCCGGGCACATCCCAGCCTCTACCTTGGCCAGCACATCCATTCTCTGTAGCATCCTCCTCATCTGCTGCTGCTCCTCCTCAGAGAACCCAGACAGCAGGGGCTCCAGCTGCCCTGTCTGAGGGGGGCGCACATGTCAGGCCCTGGCAGGGCCCCAGACCACACCTCTCTCAAAGCCAGGGCTTCCCCTGCACAGAGCCTACCAAGCCCTGTTACCTGGTACCCAGGACCAGCACCGCCCCCCCCCCCCATTTGTGCATGAAGATCAGCACCCTGCCCTGAGGCCGGCTGGTGACACGGACAAGGCTACTTGGAAGCGTAACCTCACAGCCAGCCAGCATGCCCCTACTCACAGAGCAGATCAGGCCTGCACCCAAGGTATCTGCTCCCACAACCTCCTCAGTACCCTCAGAGGGTCCCCCCTTCTGCTCCCACACACGCCAAGGAGGCTACCCTTGACCCATCCAATCACGGGGAGAGGCTCAGCTCCAAGCAGGGAGGGAGTGCAGAGAAATAACTGCGGCTCCAGGACAACAGCCGTGCAGCACAGACTGGACAGAGGCACCAGCCCCGGATAGCCTTCAGGGAGCTGGGCAGGTTGGCAGTGGGCACACACTGCAGGCCTGTGTGGCACTGGCGCCCTCTGTTCGCCCCACTTGCCCACTGTCCCTGTCCAGGGTGCCCCGAGGGGAAGGGTCGGCAGTCCCTCAGTTTGGGGGCTGGGCCTTCAGGGGCCAGGGCTGGAGGTTTGTGAAAGGCACGTTTGCTGGGTTTTCCCTCCAGGTACTTCTGTAGCTTCACATCCCAGCTTAAGAGATGGTTTCAAACGTGGCCACAAATTCCTGACACCCTCCCGTGGGCAGGTGGTCTCATCCCTGCCCCTGAACATGGGCCAGCCTAGTGACTTACTGTTAACCAATGGGATCAGGTGGAGGTGACACTGTGGGATTTCTGAGGCTAGGCTAGAAAAGGTGGCAGAGCTTCACCAGCTCCTGGGGACACGCACTGGGAACCCAGCAACCGCATGGTGAGGAAGCCCTGGCTGGCAGCTGGCTGTGGGAGTGGGGACCCCTCCACAAGGACCCCAGCCCCTGCCACTCTCTGAGTACAGCTGCAAGGGAGACCCTGAGAGAAAACCACCTAGAAGGGTGAAGGGCAATAATGTGTGTTGCCCTTTCAGTCCAGTGAGGCTTGGGGTGACCCAACATGCAAGGGCAGATGACATGGGGAGGGTACCCCAGACACTCCTCTCCTCGTCTCTATCCCATCCTGTGGGGCACTAGTGGGTCTTCCCCCTAAACCATGGGGTCTCGTGGGGACAGGGAGGACAGTAGTCTTGGCCCAGGGTAGGCAATAGGGAACATTTCCCTTCCTGGCCCGGCGTCCTCTGGGACAGGGCTCATTGGCTAGTGGGGCGGCGTCACCTGCATGTTAGGGACCACGAGGTGCTTGGAGAGCGCAGTCGTGTTGGCGATAAGGCTGTCCCAGTCCAGCAGGTCCAGGGTGCTGAGGGAGAAGGCGAGTCAGTAGAGTGGCGGCAGCAGCTTCTCCATCTGGCCAGGTAGTTTTACCTATGGGTGCTAGGATCTGTTGGGAGGGCCTAGACCCCAAACCAGCCCATTCTCTAAAAGAGCACCCCCAAACCCAATCCCCACAGAAGCCGCCTCAGTGTTCCCTTTCAAAAGACAGATAAAATGTAAATGTCACTCTGTTTAAAAAATGAAAACCAGCCCTGGCCAGGGTGGCTCAGTTGGTTGGAGCACCAAAGGGTCATGGGTTCAATTCCCAGTCAGCGCACATACCCAGGTTGTGGGTTTGACCCCCCAGTCAGGATGCATATGGGAGGCAACCAATCGATGTTTCTCTCTCAAATCGATGTTTCTCTCTCCCTCCCTCCCTCCCTCTCCCCTCCTCTCTCTCTAAAATCAATGAAAAAATATCCTCGGGTGAGGATTTTAAAAAACCAAAATATAACATGACCATGCTCTGCATCGGGGCAGTGGCAGCTCTAGAAACACAGGGCTCACACCCAGAACACCACTGGCTGTCAGGCTTCGGGAAGAGCCAACCATGGGAGACCAGGCAGCAGCAGGCACAGTGTTCAAGGAGAAAGCACCCTGTTGCCAGCCCAGGGTCCTGGTGACCTCAGTCCCAGCACCCTAAGGATGAAGCCTGGGGCTCTCTGGGGCTCAGCTGCCTGGCCCTTCACCTGCCTCCCATCGGGGGCCCAGGGAGGGCTGGCTCTCCCGATTAGCCGCAGAGTCACCTAGCCCTGTGCCCAAGCTGCCGGCCTTCATCCATGGACTCCTAGTTCCCTGTCAACTCCTATCTGTGCGTCTCAGGGCAGCAGTTTCTTTGCACCATTGTTCCAAGGCCCACAAACTTCAGGAGGGTGACCAAGATTGGGAGAGGCCACTGGGACTCAGCTGGAACCATGGCTGAAGGGGGCAGACACTCCCATCTTCTCAGCCAGGTGCTGCTCTTACCCGGATAAGCCCAGGGTCTCCGCTGTGAACCAGCTCTCAATCTCCTTCCTGGACGCAATGCCCATCTTTGCCACGCTTTCCTTGAGAAGTGAGAAGGTGTCTGACCTCTCGCATCCCCCCGACCCATTCACTAACATTTAGTGTCTCCCACCTATTGGTTTGTGATCTATTTTGACTTGATTACAAGAACAGGATACAGTTTGGGCTGTGTTTTTGCTCCATAGATGGGCCAAACCCCACGGGTTCCAAATGCCCCTTTCCTGTCCCTGTAGCTCCGCAGAGCTCTGTTACCTGCAAGGCCGGTCCCGCCACCCTCCTGTCCAGCATGTCCTCAGCCTCTGGTCAGATTCCTTCCCAGCCAAACCCTAGCAGCTTCAGGGTGGGCTGCAGGCCCTGGAGCAGCTCTGGGGACCCACCTCAGATACCGCCTGGCCAGTTCCTCCTGGGCAGGGAGCCTCCCCAGCCCCACAGTGTCACCCACTAGGGAAGGGTTGCTCACCTGCAGTGCCGCCACCTCCAGCTTTGTGTCCATGGCAGCCAGCCCGGCCTTCCCCTGCTCTGCAGCCATTTGGTGAAAGAACCGCCTCCACTTGGTCAGCACGTCTGAGAACTGCAACTGCAAATGCAGGCCCGAGCTGCCCTCGCAGGTGCAGGCCCAGCTCCAGCTCCCTGCCCCCCGGACGGCTCCCCCGAGGCCCCAGGCCCCTTCCCGCCCACCTGTGCACTTGGTTCCTGGCCCCAAGGTACCCGCACATGAGCTTTCACTTAATGCTCACACCCCCACTCCAGTTCCTGCCAACTCTCTGCATGTGGAAGGTTCCAGCACTTACTAGAAACTGGGGTCTCCCCAGTGCAGTGAGCTTAATGGCTGAGAAGCCATCTTCGCTGGCTCCACCTATGGGAAGCCACAGGAAGAGTTCTTAGGGCTCCAGAGAGGGGAGAGAGGACCAGGACCTAGGCTCACCCATAACCTCAGTGCATATGGCTACTCCCAACGCCCCACCACAGAGGCGGGAACAGTGACTCATTTGCATTTGCCACGTGGGTCAGGAAGGCAGTAGAGAGTCCTGCCCATTCCTACATAACCGTGATGATCACCCCCTCTCCCTACCCGCTTCCTCTCCCATGCCAACAGCACCCAGGCTGCCCATGGGGGGCTCAGGGAACAGAAACGCAGAGTGGAAAGCAGGCTGCGGCATGCAAGGTGCTCAACCACTACATCTGTATCTGGCTTCTAGCTTCCAGAGGCGTCTTTGCTTCTGCGGGAGCCTCCTATTTGCTCCCAGGAGGCATATAGATGCCCGTGGCACTGGGCCCCGGATGGCCAGGGTCTCCCCAGCGCCACTCTTAGAAGACTGCTTTTGACCACTATCACTCACTCCCATTTCCTAGTGTTCGGAGGGTGCAGTATGCACATGCCCATCACAGGCGGGCTGCTGAGGATGCACAGTGGGGTGGCAAGGTGACCTGGCAGGTTTCTAAAAACTAGAGGACATGGCCCTAGCTGGTTTGGCTCAGTGGTTAGAGTGTCGGCCCAAGGACTAAAGGGTCCCGGGTTCCATTCCGGCCAAGCACACATACCTCAGCTGCAGGCTCATTCCCCAGCCCTGGTCGGGGTGCATGTGTGACCAGAGCCTTGCCCCTGCCATAACTGGGGGCCGCTAGCCAACTGAAAGCCTTCCCAAAGGCCCACAGTGGGCACCTGGTACCCAGGAAAGGGGAGGGAGGCACCTTCCTGGGGACAACTGGGTTCTTCATGGAGGTATTGGATGCAGGCATGACCCCAGCGTGACTTAAGCTTAGCCTGTGGCTCTTCCACGTCACCCTAGCTTATCCTCATGACTGGCAGGGCCACCCAGACAGAGAGGAAGCTGGGCGAGTGCTCCGGTCCTGGCCTCCCATTCCCCAATATTCCCACGTGCCACAGGTAGACCTGCTGGGCCTGGCAGGTGGACAGGCAGCAAAGAGCGAGGCCCCACCTGAAGCCTCAATGCAGCGTAGGAACGTCTCCATGTGGCTGTCACACTTGGATTCATTGGCATAGAAGTAGGTGTGGGCACTGATGACGCCGTCCCTGCGGTCTCCAAAGGCCTGGTGGGCCTGGTACTGCTTCTCCCTCTTACTGGTGCCTGCAAACGGTGAGCACTCACCCCTCCAACCATGCTCCCAGCACACATGCCCTGCAGCCCCCTGCACTGTGCTGACGGCTGTGCACGAATTCCCAGTCACCTGACCCTGTACCCACTGCTCCTCCCTGGAGGAGCCCTAGTCACATGGCAGACCTGGGCCAAGAAGGCAGAACCCAGACCCACGGAGGGCTGGGAAGATGTGTCAGCATACTCAGAGCCATGACCTGGGTGCCATGGACATGGGTCAGAACTCAGCACTGCCCTTTGTCCCTGGGCTGTCTGTGCCCCCAGTCCAGGCCCCAGGC